GTGCTTTTCGAGAGTTTATCTTCCCCATAATGTGCCATGCATAGCACATTTCAGGGAACGGTCCACCTATCATGTTCTATGGTGTCCACGAATTCTGCTCTTCCTCTCCTCATCCTGAGGACATGAAGGATTGAGATCACGTACTCTCCATCATCATTTTCTTGATCGAGTTTTTGGAATGGGTTCTTTGAGGGAATATGAGCTTGTTTTTGGCCTGGGCTCCACGAATCTGTCTCGATTATGGGCGCTAGTGGCTCGTCCTTGGAGAGGGGGTTGGCAGCGCCCTCCCCTCTCTATGGCTCGCCTGACATCACGTTGATGTAGATCGACAGGACATCGAGTACTCATCTGAAGTGCAGCGCGAATTCCATGTCCTCGCAATGATGATACTTGTCTCATTTTTCAAAATCGAGTCAATTTTGACTACGCATCGCTTCATCGGCATCAGCATTCCGTCGACATCCCAGCAACATCGCTAACCAATTATCAACATAGAGCCAATATTGCTATGTAGACTGGGACCTCTTCAGACGAATTTTTTAAAAGAATTTTTAGTGGTTCGTTATGCCAACATTCGCTTTGTATCATCTTAGAACACTGAACACCGGAATACTCGGCATATTCTGAACGTTTTCACAAACACAGCCGTGTTTGCTCGATCTAGCTGGAGATATTCATGCAACTTTGGACCTGGACCCGCAACGTTGATACCGAATTGACAATACCCAAACCTGCAACGCTGTTGTGAATGCTGACTTGTTTTCAAGATGAAAGCCAAGAAATGTGAGATGAGGAACACACTCGATGGGGTTAGAGTTGACTGTCACGCTTAGGCTTTTGTCTTAGTGCTCGGACAGTACGCAGTTTTATTCAGGGTATTGTTATGCAATTCCTCTTTTGCCCCCTATTAACGAGAATCGAGGCGCTGAACAGCATATCACTCGAATTAGAAAACGAGAATGTGCACATGAAGCACACTCAACAATAAAATGCCTAGTAAATGCCGGTGAAGGACAAGATGTACTGAAAAATTCGAACCATTCAAAGCAAGACCAGAAAAGTTGGAATATCATTTTTTCTAGGTTATCCAGGGTAATTAAAAAAGTGTGATGGGCGCATGACCTCTATCAAAGAAGGCAGACCATTCCAACTCATAGAAACAGAGCCAGATTAATGATTAGGCAAGCCCAGGATAGCCACATGAGAGTGGACCCCTGATGAATGAACAAAATAAAAAAGGCAGGCGAAAATATTACTTGCCGGCGTCAGCAACCTGGTTTCTCAATCTTAAGTATCTCCTGTTTTCTGCTGTTCGGTCTGTTTTGAACTCTGTTTGAACATGCCAGCATTTTCCAAAGTTATGCAGAAAACTATTATTAAGGGAAGGCACTGCAAGGGAAGAAAGCGAGAAACATTCATAATCGAGGGAAGTTTGTGGGGATATTTGCCTATCAAAGTCCAATGTAGAAGATGAGTGAATGCTTTTAAAGACGGCAAAGGACATGTTGACGACGATCCACACAGTGAAGAGCCACCAAAAGCAATGGGCGACAACATTTATGAATTTGCGGACAGCATCTTTACAGAAGTCAAGCGTCAATCAGTACAGGAAATGGTAGAACGTTGCAGCATTTCCTTGGGATACGTTCACGCAGTTTCACCTGAAAAGCTTCACACGAGAAAGACTTCATTCCTATGGGTTCCTAGACAACTCAGGCAGACCAAGATGACTGAGCGAGTGGACGAAGCAATTTCCGCTTCGTTTTCGTCGTGGCCTTGAATTCCCAGGTATGTCACGATGGGTGAAACCTGAGTGTCTCTACGAAAGTGAGGCGAGTGAACTCGATGGAAGCACCATGGCTCACCACCCCCTAAAAAATTCAAGGTGGCTCCTTCAGCAGACAAGATCATTCCTGCGGTATTTCGGGGTTGCCAAGGTCTTCTTATGCCCCGTGCCTTGCCAAAAGGGACAACGGAAATCGGGAGGGTCTGACCTGAACCTCATTCGCAAGAACCTCCTGTGAGATTCCACTCCAGAGCGACTGGAGGGGGCAAGACCTCCTCCATCATGCACCACGACAATGCACCCCCTCATGGCATTTGTGAGTTCTTCGAGGAAAGGGACATGAAGCAATAGCCCCATGCTATGCCCCATGCATCTTACTCCTTCCATTGACTTCTCCTCATTCCCCAAGTTCAAGGATCAGCCTCATTGCACTAGATATCTTAGCTTTCAGCTTAGAGATCTACTTTCACCAGTGGATTAAACTCAACCCCGAAAGTGTTCTTTTCAGAAGCCTATAGGGACTGCCTGAAGCGGTGTGTAAAGTACGTTTTGATAGAGATCATATTGATCAGTGAGAGCCAATGAGTTGTCTGTTTCTCTTAATGAAAGTGATTACATGAATTTCGATATTTATTTTTTAAAATGGACCTCGTATTCTCGTAGGAGATTGGGTTGAATTGGATTTATGTGTCTCCTCACAAATGCCAATCAGCATCGAGTGTTTTCCCAAGAATGTCATCACCACCCAAGTGTTTCCACTAGAATCCCAATCAAATCAGGTTTGGTTGATTGCATCGAGTTCCTTGACCAGAATGTGGAGAACTCTATCTTCCTGAAATCCTAGAGAGAGAGGGAGAGAGTAATACGGATGAAATTCTAAACAAATATCCGCTGTTTTCACAGCGATACCGAGACAGTAGCGTTGTGGAATTTGCTGCTTCTGGTAGCTGAACATCGCCTGCATAAAGGGCACTGGAGCTCTGATGCCCTCTCTAGTGTTCCCAGGAGCCGATATTGCCATGATATGAGTTGGTGTCTGAGACCAGAGCGTCTCATCAATAGCAGCAGTGTTCGGATGCGAAGTGCGGCCCAATGCGGCGGTCCAGCAGCGCCTTGCAACAAATGAAATGTAAAATATTCGCAAACCGGGGTGAAGAGAGCCAAGATCAAAATTTTCACGAATAGCATCTAAATTGTCAAGCCTGATTTTTCCATCCTTTGTGCGTTTCCCGCAGAAGCTAAGCAAGGCTAGTTCAACCTTGCTCCTGGGTTACATTATGAGGTTGCCGGAGGCCAGAAGAACCAAAGCCCCAAATGGTGTCAGTAATATCATTGCTTCCGTTCCCTTCCAGGTACTAACAATTGGCGTAAACAAATCAAGCTTTGCAAATATGCATACTTTTTTCTGCGGTCCACCAAGTACCGCAGAACCGTGACCAAAGTATATACTGTCACCTCAAAACGCAGGTGGATCACTGATCAGCACATGACGCGCTATGACGTCCATCGACACAAACGCATTGGATATTCAGCCAATTCCCGTATAGGTAAAACGAATTCGCATGGATATCAAAATCATTCGCGCTATTCTTTAGTACGCACTTTTCTTTGGCATCGAATAAACCATGTTTGAGTGCGGCAAAACCATGCCCAATGTTTCTATGAACTGGCTCGTCTGATGACCAAATCGTGTGTACAATAATGTATGTGTCCCAGGAGCCCCTCGAAGAATTCCTGAAACGTCGAAGATTCGACTTGGTCACTGTGCCAAATTGGGACATGCCAATAAATACGTTTTTAGTAGCTTAACGAAGGCAACACACAGATTCGTTTACGAGACACTCGTAATGAAGCATAAGATCCACCCAGATATTGTCACCAAGCTGAACCATGGCAACTAATATAATAACTAATAATGGCTGTATTTGCTGAAGAGATCGGAAAATAACTCCCGACTGGAAGGGTTAAGTGTATTTTCACGGGACTCCATATTCGTTTTCATTCATTATTACATGCGTTTCTTTTTACATCCTGGATTTTCCTGGCTTTATACTGATTTAGACCAACTAGACTGGCCGAAGAGCACCGCCATTCCTCAGTGGCGTGACCGCTCCCTTCCTCCAATGGTGGATATAGAAATTATCCATGGAGGCCATGGATAATTCTGTACGAGTTGATTGATCGTGGAGAACTTTCGTCGAGGAGTACGTTCCCGCCTGAATGCGAGTAGCCAAATTCACGAAGCTTTTTCTTGTACTTCGTCGGGACTCAAGTATTTTATCGTCGAGAAGGAACCCTTGAACCCAGACGTCGAGTCGATACGGCGGGCCCCTAGTTGCCGATGGGGCCAAGAGTGGATTCATTTGTGCTCCACGCCTTTTCCCTGACAGTGACGCCACGAAAGAGCCTCGATAGTCCCGGGAACTCGAATCAGCGCGAATCGTGACAGAATGCAGGGACCAATCAACCTAATGACAGTGTAAAGAAGAGAAAGTGGTGCACGTCTAACCGAATATTCCATGACTCGAAACTCGTTTTGATCAATTACAGCGTTGAATGATTGATTGGTCTCCATTCCTGGTTCCATTTTCCCGCAATGGTAAAACTCTGAAAATCGACCCATTTGGGTTGATTACTCGGAGCCATTATTGAGAGTTGAGGGAAAATGCTACCACAGCGAGCAGATGGTGGGTCACCGGGTAGCATTTTCATTTGGGTATGCTGCCTCACTCATGGTGTGTTGCCTCACTCATTTCTATGAGTGAGGCTGCATGTCGCTCTGGTCGGGAATCGCATACGTGGTTGCTCTGAAGTGGTGCCGATATGCGTAACTGCAAGGAAGAGTTTCTCGAAATGATATTCTTCAAGTTATCAGGATACCAGCCGGTCTTATAATCGATTCACTAACATTGAAGCAAAAAAAAAACGAGAAACCAACGGCTTGCTGGATGTACGCTTGCTTATTGTAAAGCAGCAAGGTTTGTATTTCGTTCATATCACCGAGAAAATTTATTTTCCGAGAGTTCGAAGTCTCCAGATCGGTTAGGTAAAAATAAAAAAGAACTCAAGCTCCATCGAGAAATTCAACTGTTCCACGTATCTAACTGCAGTAGTCTTAGTGGTGCTCCACGGATCTCATACAGCGCCTAAACCATTTTTTTTTCCCGTGTGTTCTTGCTGCATAAAATATACTCTTATACTGTACAGTGTCATCATGTCCAGAGCTGCGAAAGGAAGGTCCTCGATGAAGCTGTATCTCGGTGAGACGGGCCGAAGAAGGAAGACAATAGCCGCTGAGTTTCTCAAAGAACCACTTCACCGTGTTCTGCACGGTCTCTTCCATCTCCAGCCCTTCTTTCCAAGAGACAGCCCGATCGCGGCCGATGCCTTCCTCCGTCGGCTGGGGGCGTTGCGACACTGCGCGGACGCTGCGCCGAGGATGCAGCCGTGGAAACGGGGCCTCGTGAGAGACATCTGCAGGACACTGCTGCAACCGGTTCGTTGGTGGAAACTCGGAAATGAGTTCTGATGGTTGTTGCTTTTTATGCAAACGAAATAAATAAATAAAACTTTCAGCGGAGTAATTTTAGACTGTTTTCTCAATAATCACATAAATTTGAACCTGGTTTTCCTGCAGCACCTGTTACAAAAGGGCAAACAGGATGCTTTTTTCGTTTTTTTTTTATCTCTTTGTATAATTCCTTAGCCATTATTAACCTGAATTACTTTTTTGGTGCAAAGAAGATGAGTTATTTCTTGATCACATCAGAATAGGACGCGGCGGAAGTGTTTTTCCGAAGAGTTGCAACACGAAATGCGATCAACGATGAACATGTGTCTAGCATGCCAAAGCCATTTTTGTGGAAAACAAAATGTCCCTGACAGTTTCATTTTCCATGTATTCACTTGACCATATGGTTACGCAAGGTCGTTGAAACGATAGACCGCCGTGGTACGATGCACGTCCCAGAGGGCATGTAAGAAGCCCGAGGAGAGTCCGTGCAGAAGCGTGACCGATGCCTGGTCACGTTACAGTCACTCTCTGCCTCGAAAAGCATCAACGTTGGATTCTTTCCACCGATAAAATGGATTCACCGTCAGGGGCGGATACAGAAATTTTCCATGGGGGGGGATGGTTCCCAAGGTCCTACCTCCCCCTCCTACCACCATTCCTCATCCTTTCACCTTTTAAATTTTTCGTCCGGGGTAAGAACTTGAATATCTATTTCACTGGCTCCAATGAAATGTAATGCAGATGCTATTTTGAATAAATAAATCAAATGCTAACCTGACCATATGGGGGAGGGGGGGGGGGGCGTTCGGCGGTCGGCGGCCCCCCCCCCCCCCCCCCCCCCCCCCCCCCCCCTCTATCGTTTCAACGACCTTGCGTAACCATATGGTCAAGTGAATACATGGAAAATGAAACTGTCAGGGACATTTTGTTTTCCACAAAAATGGCTTTGGCATGCTAGACACATGTTCACCGTGAACTCTAGCGTCCCCGCAAGACGATAGGCGAGAGTTCTGTGGTGACTGATCACCATCCGCCGATCGCGTGGTTTTGCGGCCCAGGAAGAGGCACAGTTGCACGCTGCTTCGCTTTTCGTCATTTCCGCATTCGCTTCGTCATCACGGAGGAGAAAGGTGACAGGGACAAGGGAGGGAAAATGGGTGGCCTTCGCCTCGTCGATCGTTTTTCCGCTTTCCAGCCGTCGCGGGGGGAGCGGAGGCGAGATCTTAATCGGGGGAACTTTCGTCACCGTTTCTCGCGAAAATCCTAATGGTCTTCCGGCCGCTCGGCGTCCGAGATGAGTGGGATCCGGACTTCTAGAATCCCATTTCTCGAATCTGTATGATGCCTCATCCCGACGAGGACGAGGGGCGTACGAAGGTCGGAGCCCGAGCAGCCCCGAAAGATTCCGTTTCCTCGGTCGCGATTGCCGCGCGAATCGAGTCGCAGCGAGGGCGAGATAACGCTTTTGCTCTTCCGTGATCACTTCAGAGTTCACATCATCATCTCGCGTGTTGAAGCTGTGTAGTGCTATATGTATTTTTCCCCCCTTCTCTTGTCCGTTGGTCTATTTTAGATCATTTTCGTCAGGAGATCCTACTTCCCTCTCCTCGTCGTCATCGCCCACGAAACAGAGTCGAGCAGACAGCAGACAATTCCACTCGTTCCAGACCCGAAGAGACGGCCGATGTCCGCCGGACAATCCAAAAAAAATTATGTTTCGGACGACAACTTTTAAACGGTTGTCCTTCAAATCGGTTTCCGGTAATCGAGCAACCCTAGAAAATGGTTTAAGCCAACTTACGACCCATATTATATCGTACTATATCATATCATGGCCCCGTGAGAAATATTAATTTCTAGCTACTACGGCATACCCCCAGCGGGTGTTCGACAAAGACACCGAAAATTTTCATATCACGCACAGTAAAGACACAAAGCTAACGTCTTTCCTGGCACTAAAAGTGAAGTTCGTGGGTCGAGCGATCCAAAACAAATCGTTCCACGACCGAGCAGAGAGCCTTCGATGGTCCCGGAATGAGATCGCCGAGCGGGAGATCTGCAAGCTCGTCGCTCGATGGAAGGGCGAGACCGTGTGCGATGCCGGAGGAGGTTGGAGGTCTTTTCGGGTGGGATGAGGCGTGATGGGGGAAATTTTCGTCGTCGGAGAGACGTCGTGACTCTTGTGGCTAGAAGTTCGTTGTTTTCATGGGTGCGAGAGCTAAGGTGTAGGTGATATGATTTTTAAGCTTCTATCTCATCGAGTAAAGGCCGAGATCTCGGCGCATTTTACATGCGCCGTCCGGTTCTTACAACCCAGAAGAACCACTCGGCAGCGCCTGAACCATTTTCCAATATCTTCTATGGTCAGTCGCTCGTCGGAGCGAATATGTGGGTGACGATTGGCTTCGATTCCCTACCTTTTCAAGGTCCTGAGATCCAGGAATAAAACGATTTCGGCTCCCGTTCGCTTGGTTCTTCGAAAATAGTTCCATAAAAGTTTCACGGTAGAATGGTTCCAATCCAAACCGTTATTTTCCAGAGTCCACGCCCCCACAGACGGCGAAGTGTTCTCGTTAGGCAATGGAGACGATGATTGATTAAAAGACTGTTGTGCAGGCAAAGCCCGAGATTATCGGAAATCCTCGTTGTTATCCTTAGATCGAACGTTGTTTATTATGGGTTGCTTACGCAAACTTCCTCGGAAAATCCTACCCTTAATCATGAATCATCCAAGCAATGTTCTTAGAGCTGTAATTAGCATTAGCATCGATGTAAGGGCCCCGAATAAAGTAGACCTCATTCATTACGTGAAGCCTTTGGTCATTTGGTCTGGCATTGCATACAAGAAACATTGGGAATCGTGCATGAAGAATGGATTCCTTTCTTGACGTTGAATAGGCCGCATTTCTGCTTCTACTGGACGCTGCAGATTTAATTCCGAACCTCAACGTCGAAACCTGTGAAAGCCCCCTCGCGGCACTCGCGGCACTCGCGACTGTTCCCATCTGCTTTGTCAGCATTCAGTGATTATCAGATCTAGTTGAAGGCTTGGCTCGAAAATTCAATTGGAGTTAGGTTTACTTTCGTCACTCGTGAAACATTTGCGTTATTATATTCCTCTCGTATTGTCGTCATTTTCAATTTCATTCGTTTCTGACCACTTTAATTTAGTCAGCGATTTTTATTTCAATTATCGTCTCGGTCTCGTGGACTGAGGTTGTTATTCATTTTCGTCGAGCGTCTTGGTCAAGCGTGAATTTTCGTCATTTCCTCGTGAATTACAGTTTTCGTCTCGTCCTCGTCATCGTCGACGAAAATGGAAAACCCTTCGTCGATGAAAAATTTTCGTCACAATTTTCGTTGACGAAATTAACTCTGGTGCAAAGACGATGCCACAAAGCGAGGCAAGGATCTCTGGCGGAGAATGCCGCTCGTGCCCTGCAGCGAGGATGCCGCTCGTGCCCTGCAGGGAGGATGCAGCTCGTGCCCTGCAGCGAGGATGCCGCTCGTGCCCTGCATCGCTAAGTGATTGTGTGAGAGGCGAGCGGGCTGGTCTGCAGATCACGAACGCAACATATAAACGTATTGCTGTAAGGGAAACCATATCAAAACTCGGAATGGAAAACTTCGCAAAAATACCCGGCAAGAAGTCGAATTTGGGATCCTTATTGCTCCGGCTGGATCCAAACTCCTCCCGAGGAGGGAATTTTTGCAGGGGCGGAGATTTTCTGAGGCCTGCGAATCGTCGCTGAAGTCGGGAAATCGCGAATTGGGATGTGGCCATACTCCGGAATCGGCGAAATTTGTTGGCCGGAGATCGGGCTGGACGCTGAAAGTTGATGTAAATTTGCGCCGACTGTTTCGCGATCGTGATTTGTTCTACGAATGGTCACTATCACCGATAGAATGATCTTAGCGAAGAAAACAACTATTTGAAAATGGATACGAAAATTGCTGCCAAAAATCACCAAGATCAGAAAATCGATTTGTGCGACATTCCGCATGGTTTTCCTTGCGGCTACAATTAAAACCCATGGAGGAAAACGTTTTCGAAACCGTTCGATCGGGAAATTCGAAAAAAAACGAACTTACCAGCATTTCGGATGCGTCGACTATCTACGAGCGTGTTTTGAATACTTTCGGTGCTGAGGATTTATGTACTCGAGTACCGAGTACTTATGTACCGAGTCTCTCGTCCTTTGCTTCTTAAAAAATGCGCAGCGCTACATCGGGTCAAGGGACCAGCTGCAACAAGTCGCATGTATGGAATAAGACATCGATTGGAGGAAGAAAAGAGTCGATGGACTCCGTGAGAGGAGTCGCACAAGATGAGGACTGAGAAAAAGTTGAGCCGAAGTTGACCGTGGGTTCTCTGAAGTGGTCCACTGAAGGATTTCATTCAGGGACGAGTCGCCTGGACTTAATTATGTGTGTCAAGGGACCGATAGAAAGTTTTCAATGTTACATGGTTTCCATAAAAGCAGTTCCTCGACGGGAAACCTTTTCCCCTAATTAGTCGAAGACCAGCTTTATTCACGGGGGCAGCGTCGTCGTCATTCCCAGCCCCATACTTTTGAAACGACTTACTAGCGACCTACACCCCCCCGCGAAATCGGCTGATGCAAAAGTTGCGCCCGTTTGCGGCAGCACGTCTCTCTCCGCCCGACGGCAGTTGCCCACTGGACTCGCAGGGAAATGGGTGAATGCCGATGCCGCCCTGACTCCGGTTCGCGGACGAGGCGGTTCGTCATCCTCGTCGTTCCTTGCATTCGGGTCGTGCGCTCTTCCGGAGACGAAACGACGTAGAAGCGGTTTCTTTAGAAAAGTAGCCAGGTCATCGTCGTTCCGAGAACTGGAATCCGGATCGTTGCATAATGTCCGCATCCGTATTAGAAGATGCGAATCACCGTCCTTGTCGCGACAGTTGCGTCACGTGTGGACGTGTCCACCGGAGGGAGGATTTTCCCCTTAAAACGAATTCCTTCGCTGTATCTCCCCAGATGTCCTTGTCCTCGGATGATGCAACGCAACGTCGTGTCTCGAGGATTCGGGCTAACGACCTCGATCTCCAGTCATTCATTGATTCGGCCGTCCAAGTTCTTCTGTAAATACGATTCTTTCACAGACCCTGGAACAACACGAGATCCAACGATTACGGTCTTTTTTTATCTCTCTATAGCCGGATGCTCAAGTTAGCCAGTCATGACGTCATCGTGCCAAAATTGGCATATCGGAAGGCGGAGAAGTTCAATTCCATCAGTTTCTATGTGCAACAAGTACAGAGGCGTGAATTAAAAATACAGCGAGTGACGCATGCATGTGTGCGCGGTAAAGGGGAGGGGAGAACGTAATGACAGGATAATGACGACCACGCGTGAAATCGGAGGCATTGCGCATGCGCAGAAAGGAGGAAATTTTTTTCCCGTTCCGTCAAATAAAGCCCGCGCGCTCCACCTGCTTGCCCTTCAGGTGCTCGCCAGCCTTCGCGCGAGAAAGAAGGAAGAAACGTCGACGGAAGTTTTGTGTCTCTCGGCGAGAAACGGGCAGTTGATAAAACCGAGAAGAAAAGTTATCAACCGTAGTTCTATTTCCCCCCTCTCATGTGGCCTCTACTAGTTCTCATTTGCCAATTCACGCCCACCCCGTCGTCCTCGTTCCCTCTCGGAGCGTGGGATCCTTCGGCGTCCGGTGAGTTCCAACTGCGTATCTGTTGTCATGAGAATTCCGGCTTCAACCCTTACTTAACCCTTACAACCCTTACTTAAACACAGGAATTCGGGTGTAATATATTGTAATAGTAGTAGTATATGTGTCATTTCTTGGCGAAGGCTGAGAGAGATGGCATATGTCTAACAATGCAATTCAAAAGATCTCTGAAAAGCCTAAATTTCACCATGGCCTCCAACTCTACAGTACATTTTATCAGCTGGAATATCGCATTTACACTCTTTTACCTGACTTTTCTAATAGTTCAAACTGACGACCATTATGGTATTAGTCAAAAGTCGACTGGATTAGGTTAATCAGCATTCTGGAGAAAGTTATGATGAATAATGATGCATTCTCATAGTTTGGATCACCGGATGGATGACTTAACACTTTCACTGCCGTTCACGCCATATGGCGTGTTCGGCACGACGAACCTCCGCTGCTATGCCTGGCAAGGAGAGGTTGAGAGGGCATTGAAATCCTCGGCTGTCGAAAGGGTGATTATAGAGCATGATTTCAGATGATGTCGTTCAATCCCCTTTTCGAAATCAAGTTGCGAAATTCTCCGATAAAGAAATAGCGTGGTACCGATACCAGTCCTTAACAATCGATAATAGAAAATCAGCGTGGAGTGTTCTGGAGCCAGAAATTTTCAGGTTCTCTCCTGATGGGGAGATGGGGAGCGATGGGGAGGAGGAGGGGAGGGGGAAGGAGATCTCAGAAACCATGGATTAACTGCTCATGAAACTCCACTTGACTTCAAATATGGCCTTGTTATTATTCTCATCAGTGCAGGTTTTGCGCAGTGTCGAGACACGTAGGGGCAAAGATAACGATTCTGATTACCATATATATGGCTTCAATGGGATTTAATGGATTTAAAGGACACTGATTAGAGGTTGGCAAAAGGAGAGTTATTTTTCACTACGCCTAACATAAATCTGTTTTGCAGAAATGAAGTACGGTAAATTGCGGAAAACGGTGTTGTGTAAACTGTGATGACATCATCCCATTAAGAACGCAGGATACAAAAGTCCAACCATCGCGTGAGAAAAGTTTTTCTTTCTGTCATCCGAGGCACTTAATGGACAATTTTGTGGGTGACACGAAGAAGGTTGACCTTGACTTCCCAATGAATACTTTATTAGTTGATATTTCAAGGGTAAGGAAACTTTAACTTTTATGGTCACGGTCGATAATCGGTAAACATTGGATATGAATTGTGTGCGAGGTTTATGGCTCTTGCTTCCCTAGATTCAGAGGGACAAAAAAGATGATCCTGTCGCGTTACGTTGGGACTATGAGTGCCTATTGTAGTAGACCATCCGGTCCTACACGGGAGTATAGGGGTCAAGCCTATTCGTTCTTGGACGCAACCTTGGTCTCCGAAAAAGGAAAAGCCCTTCACTCCTGTGCATCCCAATTAGGCGATTGAGAATTGTTGCCTTTCCTATACCACGTACTCAGTTCAGGATGAGATGACAAAATAGTAAAGTGCTCATACTCCGAACACGAATGGGAATAGCGCGGTATTCTATGCCCATGGCATTTCTAAGTAGCTAGAGGTCAAAGTTTCCCTCTCATATTACTTAGTAATACAGCCATGACTTAGTGCTAGTAATCATGTACGTATGGGCGAGACTGCACAAATAAAACAAGTCCTTCAGAAGTCGACGAAAGCAAAACGAATAAAAATGTTCCATCTATGCAGCGAACAGACGATCCACTGAAAGATGACGCCATCGACAGGACATCCTGTTTATGGCGTTTGTTACTTTCTTGCTGGATATGCTGATGATTGACGAACACAAACAGATTTTGAATATATCTGTGTCTCTCAAACTCACCAAGAAATTACTTCAGAATTCTTGTCCCTTGTTCATCCTCGTAATGCCAATGCTTCATTTGTTCAAAATCTGTCATCTTGAAGATGGTTGTAAGATAATCTGCATTTTTCTTGGCTTCTTTTTATGGTAACAATAATTAAGGGTACTTATTGATTTTTGGTAATTATTACTAGTAATATCGGCAATGATTTTGCTAGCTTGTGTCATTGAAGTGACAGCTCCCTTTATTAAAAATAAAAATTTAATGGATCACAAATGTGACCCACAGGCATTACGAGGATATAGATAGAAATCCATGTCAATTTTTTGTTAGATGGTTGACAAAATGCGTTTAAATGTGTTTTTCTCCCTCTCTCTTTTCAATAGGACACACGTCGGACCTGGTTAGCTTGCAATGGCTTCCAGATTCCACGAGAGGAACTGGGGACTTGAAGCGAGGGGCCATGGGCAACGATATCGATCCCGAGGAATACCCCTTCATGAGCATGGGTTCGTTCTGCCTTTAATAATCATCTTTTAATTATCAAAATCCACCACATTTATCAGGACAACGGTGGGTATTGTTATGTACATTGTGATGCTGTGATGCGTTGATCATCGGCGGCTCGGATTCCTTCCGAGAAGAGAATTATGAGGAAACCTCTTTTGGCGACGGAGGACGCCTCCACAGAGGGATGGATCCGACGATCCTTTAGTATTCCACGATTATTAAGGGATTCTTGTCCCAGAGAATCACCATGCAATAAACGCTCTTTCTTCATGCAATTAGGCGACAGCGTTAAGGCAATTTCTATTTTTTAAAAAGTAACTCGAGGCTTGGATATTAACTAGATAAATGTGATTAATTGCTTGATTGACTTGAAAATGTAGCAAGTCACTTTTTTTTTACCATTACGGAAACTACAAGACGATTTTCTCAAAAATCGCTTCTAGTGGCTAGGCACCTCGAGGTAGCGGTAATTACTTTCCAGTCTCATCAGTATTCGTCTGGTATACCGGAGTTTCCCTTTGAACTTGAGGCACCAGATGCCCTTGACGATTGCTCTCTAGGGAGCACCTGCTGCGGTCGCTCGCTTAGTGCATGTACAGGGTGGGCCAAAAAAAGCAAAGCTATCATTTTTGAAGAGTCGTCAATCTCTTTGTAGGCTGTCGATTTTGATTAAAATTGTTAAGCTTATAGGGTGACACAATTTGAGTTTGCATCGCAAATTTCAGTCATGTGGTTTCAAAATGATAGGAGTTGTAATTATTTTCTGATGACCAACGATAAAATGTGCTGTCGAAAATATCGATATAACCCTGTGGCCGGGATGAAAAGGAGGTCCGAATTCATTGACCTTCCATCCCTGCATGATGCTACGAAGGAAGATTGGGAGGCACTGCCGCAAAGGTTTATTGACCGAGCCATCGATGGTGTCCCAGACTACAGGCTTGCGTTCAACAGAATGGAGGGCACATTGAGCACCTTTTCAGTTGAAATGTACGTCCCTAAATCAAATTGTGTGCTTTCATGTTTGGCATTTGTGCATCTACTTTTTGTTCTGTTTGCTTGCTTATTTGTTTCTGTCAGTTGTGAGAATTTTAAAGCTGAAAGAAAAAAATGAGCACTTACTTTTTTGGTTATGAAATGCAAATTAAATGCCAATCTCACAGTTTTTGTAATTTTTATTTGAAACTTGGCACACAAACCCTAATTGAATCATCCTATGTGTATACCAAATGGAATCAAAACCGGTTGCATAAAATCTTATTGGCAGCTTACCAAAAATGATAGCTTTGTTTTTTTTTTGGCCCACCCTGAATGTCCAGCAGCACTCGATAGCGACGATTTGTTTAACGTGACCTTTAATTTGCGCATACTTATCAGGTGTATCCCTGCCCTAACGCAGTGCGGTCAACCGAATCAAAGCTTCTGAGATGGAAGCCAAAGAAACTGCATTCACGAAACTCACAGTTTAAATAGAGCAAAAGAACTTCCTGGAACAGGGTGTTTCAGAAATCGCGCAAGAGACATTGCAGTGGCTGCCTGATTCTAACAAGATAATGCCACGGCTTATACGTCTAACACCACATCGGCGCACAAGCAGTTTTATCTGGCGACTAAAGCATCAGCTGTGGCATGTGGTTGCCCAGATCTCCTGGCCTTTCCCCCATTCCGGACCTTTTTCTGAGGGGATTCTTGAAGAATTGGGCCTTCAGTGACAACCAGAACCATTGGACCGGTTACAGGAGATCATTCATTACATCGAAGCCACTTCCCCAGAAACACTGCAACGTTTGTTCAGCAATGTGTAAAATTGCATCGCTTTGCGAATTGATTGGATTGCGTTGATGATGGAAGACGATTCCATTGTCTACTGTCACTTCTATGATATGCACTCTACAGGGTGGCCCAAAAAATTCCTCCCCAATTTTTAATTGCACATAACTCAAAAACTATTGAAGCCACAGGCTCGAAAAAAACAGCAAATTAAAGATTGTTCCTTCCTCTTTAAAATAGTCTATAGGATCATTGTAATACGTGCCATGGCATGGCCGCCATGGCCATTTGAATCAACCATGACCGAAAAAAAGTTGCAAGGTTGCACTGCTACAGGCGCCTTTGTTTCTGTCCTGCTGTGAAGAGGGGAAGACACAGTTCAATGGCTTTAATTTGCTGTTTTTTTCAAGCCTGTGGCTTCAATAGTTTTTGAGTTATGTGCAATTAAAAATTGGGGCGGAATTTTTTGGGCCACCCTGTAGGTGCGTTACTTTTTCAATTTACTATTGTTTCAAAACCTCCCCTGTTTCAATTAGGGATCATGGAAAGATCGAAGTATGGACAAATTTCGTGTGTAATTAAGTAACAAACTTAATGTCATTCTTTTTAATTAATTTCATTTTCAGTTTTCACTATAATCATATTTTGCAAGGAAGAGCCACAAGAAATTAAGTCTGTCGTTTTTTTTCCCGCGCTCATTCACTTTCATTTCAATTGTTTGGAGCAGTGTAATTACCTAGCTGCAAAATGCAACTAAAATATTTAAATACTTTTCCAGTAGGAGAAATACTATAGCTATACAATAAAATTCTGGGGAAATATTCTAAAATGACTTAAGATATGCAATCACTATCATAATTAATTATATGACCGGCAAGTTGCGCAGACGTCTGTTATACGGGAGCCCGTAAAATATGCGGACATGGCGGTCAAAGGGTTAATTACAACACAACACTGATAGGGGGAAATTCCCTGGTAATTGTTTTACTTTTCTTCCTTCCACTTTTAACTCAGGAAGGTTTAGGGAAGGTTTCTTCGGCTTCGGCTCCTGCCGTCACATGTGATTGCTTTTCTTCGAATCACTGTCTGCGTGATGGAGCCATAAGGGAAATTAGGCAAAGAGTGATATTCGTCTGTCTCGATATTCATCCATATAATAATAGTAATAATAATAATCGAAGTTTGTTGGTTTGTCGCTTGTTCGCCAGAGGTCTGCACGATTCAAGTTTTTCCTAATGTAACCCGGTTGGTCAGATCCGATTCATGGCCCGCACCAAACCTGAAACTCGATGGCCAACAGAGCTACAAGTCCCGATCCGCAGGTCGGGTTGATTTAATTGAACCGATCCACATCCGGATCAGAACTCAAAGCTACAGCTCTGGCTTCTGATCTCGGTATCTAATGTCGAATTGCAATCCTCGACTATTCATTACATACCCTAAGTCGTTCCAAATCCAAAACGTGGGTCTTATTTGAATGCTAGGAGACAGAACTCGCTGTAAGTGGGAGCACAGGTAAACTGTGGGTCATCAATGGAAATCATTCCTTATTCTTCATCCAATACCCGCGCATTCAAAATTCGAACGACACGTCTCACTCAAGTGCTACGGAGTGGAACACGCTGAAGGTTTTCATACAGACAATTAGGAGTTCCCTGATGGCGGAACGCATCCCTTATTATTAATCTAGAGCGTGGTTTTTCCAAATTTAAACGTTGCATCACCTTAGACTGTCACGAGACAGAACTCATTGAAAATTGTTATAAATGGAAATTAGGAGCCTTTGGGGGAATTTTGGGGGGAAATTAGGGGAGATGACAGGTGGCATCCCCATTCTCCATCTGATACCTGGGAATTTCGAATTCTCACGGTGTGTTTCATGTGAATACTATTGGGCGGAACTCTGAAAATTGGTGGATAGGGAAATAGGGATGACAGAACCCCACCCTATTCATATGAAATAAGGCTGATCAGAATTCCAATGGTGTTTCTCATTTGAATGCTATGAGACAGAAGTCGATTAACCTCAATTAGGATGGCGTGAATATATCCTGGATAACGGCCAGTTTAATCCATAATATCTTCCCGCATTTCTTTTATCTGCTGAGAATGTGCAAACCCTGAGTGGAGATACCTGAACGCATTCAAATAGCTGGACGCGAGGATCATTGATAATTTCAGTTGTAATCTTTAAAAGTCTTTGTATTTGAAATATGGCCATGTGGTCTCCAGAGTTAGAACTTGTATGCTGTCTCAAACCTCAAGCATGTCATTCACGTGAGGTTCGAAAAGTCGTCGCAGCTCTAATTTTGCCAAATGGATTTACATGGTAGTAAAGAACAAATTATATCTGCAGCGAGGAAATTGCCATTTTCGTTATGCAACTACAGGTAGGACAACGGTGCAGATATCAGGTTTATCATTCAAGTTTCTGCTATTTCCAAAGATATTGTCCAAAATACAGCCGACAGTCGACAAAAACCTATATCAACGAGATATTATAGGGTGTATGATAAGTAACTCCCTATTTTGAAATGCTTGTAACTCTTTTTTTTTAAAGCAAAATTTAATGAAACAAACTGTGAATTATGTACTAGTTGGTTTTTATTTGAACTCTTCCACACTTCACGCTTTCACGTATGCTCCTGCATTGTCAACAGATTTCCTTTAGGAACAGGTATATTTCCCATAGGTATGTTGGCTGGTAGCTGGAGTAGGTCTGTGTGTAGCTGTTTAATAGAAGTTTTCCTGCGATTCAAATGAGCCAACATGCCACGTTTCAGTGCTGTCTTAATCTGCTACAGCAGGAGGAGAGTGAGTTTATAAAAAGGCTTTGACTGAATAAGTCAAATTTATCCGTCAGCGAAAAATAAAATAATCGCGTTTAATTTTCAAGTTCACTGTCTCTATTTTTTATGAACCACCTGCCTAGCAAAATAAAGAGGACACTGGGAGAGAGAAAGAAAATGTAGGATAACATCCTGTTGTGGTTCTAATCAGGAAAAGAGTTCGGTACATCTTGGAGGAGGGCGTGTTGGTACCACCTAGCTCCAGGTACTCCACACCTCAATCTGCGTACCGCGGCGCCATTGTCAGCCTCTAGAGCAGTGGTTCTCAACCTGGGAGGTGTCACCCCCCCGAATGCATGAATGTTCAATGGGAGTAAAAGGAAGGTTGAGAACCACTGCTCTAGAGTCTAGAGTCTAGATTCTTGAGGCACCCAGGGCTGCCGTGTGTATCAAGAGCTTTTTTTGAACTGTACCAAAGGAAGGCAAGAAGGCCAGGAGGCC